ACATGTAATTAAGGTTAGTTTGCAAACAAGCACAATTGTCTCTTTTGTCCTGGAGGAGTGAATGGACTTCTGCATTTGGACCCATCAGTACCCTGCTCTCCATCTGATGGTGACTTTACGTCCTCTGTTCATGCAGGTGACTTTACTGTTACATAATATTCAGCAAAATCCCACTTCTTCTGGCTTCATTCAAGTGACCACTAGTTTAAAAAAATGACAAAAATAAATTTTCTGAAATACTGCTCTCCTAATTTTAGATTTATTTTATTTTATTTTTATTTTTTTTGGCTTTGTCCACTCAGAGGGAATTCAAGCCGTTGGTGCTTTACTCTGGCTTTTAGAGCTGTGCTGTAAGYAGCTGCCTGTTGAGGAAAACAAAGCAACCCGAGTGAAGCTGAACCATAATTAAGATGAAACTAAATATTCACCAACCAGAAGGGAGCAGATTATAAGGATGTGTACGTTTATTACAAACACAAAACCCTCAGACACAGAGCAGGAACAAATAAGGAGACCAAAAAATGATCAGCTTTTCTCTGACCTAACTGTGTGTTTGAGTGAAATGAACATGTTTTTCTTCTTTTTTTTCCTTCAAAATATCAAACAGAAATGTTGTCATTTAGAGCATTTATTGGCAAAAAGTGACAAATGGTCAGAAAAAAGATGCGGTATTTAAAAACGTCAAATAATGCAAAGAAAAAAGGTTGTAGTCATTTGCAGATGTCACAATAATGTTTAAACTTAGAGATCAGATATCAATATTTGGTGCAGTCACACTGAAATGTATTCACAACTTTCATGCATCTTGGCATGCTCTCGACACCATTCACATTACATTTGGTGGAGTTTTTGCTGCACAAATTCAATCAGCTTGTGGTTTTCAATGAGGTTCAGGTCTGGAGACTGGGCCAGTCTGTGCCRTGACAGAATCTTTATCTGATGGTTCATCATCATGGGCCTTACTAAAAACCTGGCACTCACTCTGCCAGTAAAGCCGAAACTGAACCCTTCATTTCCTCAATCAAAACATTTTGTCAACTCTTCAGGCATGACCAACGGCTTTTATTCTAATTACTTTGACTTACTACTAAATGTCCTTGCCGTCCAGCTGGTTCTACTGCAGAGGTTAATGATGACCACAGCAGTGGGTTTTAGACTTTTCCTCATTAAGTAAGATTTGGTTCAGGTGATCACCTAATCAGTACCTCATTAAGTAGAATGAAGTGTGCTTGTATTAGAATTTATCAGATACTGGAATGAAAAGGCTGTCAGACATGAGGAGATGCTGATTTCAGAAAAATCAGCAGTGGTCTGTTTGATGCCATCCTAACCAACAAATGCATTCCTTATTTCTTGTCAACACTTGGGGTTCAGCCAAAATGCAAGAATAAATAAAAACGCTTTGAATCTCATGTTAGGCCTCCAACTAATACACACTATGAGAGACTTTAGTGGAATTTGTCTCATTTCTTTGCTCAAATTCACTTGAATGTCTCCATGAAGGCTTAAAACTGTTTTGTTTAAACTTTAAGAGTTTGTACACCATCTATTACAAAGTTACACTTTAGTGTTTTTTTGTCTCAAGCTGTGAAGTTCAATAAATGAGAGTCTTCTGGCAGAAGCACAGATCAACAGACACAGGCCTTGTTGGCAATAATAAGTGATTGCTTCAGTCTGTGGTGGTAAAGAAGAAGCTGAGCCAAAAAGTAAAGCTCTCAATTTACTCACTTATGGTAAGGAAGTTTGTGTTATAACTGAAAAAAAAAAAGAAAAAGATCCTAAATACAAAATATGAGCTTCCTCAGTCTGAGAGAAAAGGGGAGGAGCTTGGTTATTCCAGGGAGGCCCAGCGTGGAGACAGTGCTTCCTCACACTGAATGGAGTCATCCCAGGTGCTTCAAGCATCTGCAGAAGATGCCTCCTGGGCGCCTCCCTCTGGAAGTTTTATCAGGCACAGTCGATGGGGAGGAGAACCTGAGCCAGACCTAGACCCTGAGCCATACCTAGACCCTGAGCAAGACCTAGAACTGGATGGATGTAAAAAAATGGATTGGTTTGTTTACTGCTGACTTTTAAAAAGCACTACACATTTTATAGTCTTTTCTTAGGTGAAATATGATATAGTTTTGTAAACCACTGTGTGAACA